CACACACACACACACACACACACACACACACACACACACACACACACACACACACACACACACACACACACGTTGTAAGTGGAGCTTTGGCTCAGGTGCTCAAGTAGTAGAAGATCAGCCTTGAGTGAAAAAGCTAAGGAAAGTACCAGGTCCTGAGTTTAAGCCCCAATACTAGCACAAAACAAAACAAAACAAACAAAAATCTCCACCAGGATAGGGCCTGCTTCCTACTTTGAGAAGTTGACAAAAACCTGTGTCATCCAGAGGACAAGATACCAGGGGTTGACAGTCTTGATTCTGAGGGACACAGAGATCCAGGGAAAATGCACAGAAGTCTCTGTGGCCAGACCCCTATCACTATGCCCAGAGATTCCCCTAGCTTACCAGCAGGGCTGCCCGGTTGTAGACGTGTTCAAAGGCGGGGGGCAGTGGGATTTCCTCAATGCGGAAGGTGACTCCAGAGAAGCTGAGCTGGCGTGCTATGTACATCCCGCTGACCTTCATATCCATGGCTACAATCTCCATGGCACCCACACCCCTGCAAATAGGTGCCGGCGTCCTGAGCATTGGCTCCTCCCTTCATGGGGAAAGCTATTCCAAATTGGGCAAGAAAGAACCCGATGCATAGAATAGGAAGCACATGCAAAGGCTTTGTGGCTATATCAGGGGACAGAATGAATGAGCCTCTGCCTGGGCCAGAGCAGGGTACAAGAAAGGACACATAGAGCCCAAGGGCTTGGTAGTGGAGAGCTCATCTCCCTGTTGATAGGAAACACTGGCAGAGAAAGGATGTGATTCACCAGTGGAGACTGATATACATGACCTGAGGTGTCAGGCAGGGAAAGGGCTCACCTCTTCTCAATGGCATGCAGGAACTCCTCAAAGGTGCGGAAGGGTGTGCCCTCGCCCCAGATGCCCAGGCGGCTCATATAGATCATGTTCCGTGGCTCAGAGGCACCTAGTGGTGAGTGTGAGAAGCTGCTGTCAACCTAGCCCAGTCAGGAGGAGGGATATGTGAGGCTACGTAGGATGCCGTTTTGCCCCCAGACCTCAAGAAGTGGGGTGCAGATCCATGGTTTTTTTTTTTTTTTTTTTTTTTTGGGTCCGGTCGTGGGGCCTGAATTCTGGGCCTGGGCGCTGTCCCTCAGCTCTTCAGCTCAAGGCTAGCACTCTACCGTTTGAGCCACATTGCCACTTCCGGTTTTCTAGTGGGTTATTGGAGATAAGAGTCTCATGGAGTTTGCTGCCGGGGCTGGCTTTGAACCGCAATCCTCAGATCTCAGCCTCCTGAGTAGCTAGGATTACAGGCGTGAGCCACTGGCGCCAGGCACCATGGGCTTTTACATGGCTTTCAGGATGTCCCTACTCCCAAATCAAGGCAGACCATCAGTAACTGATGGTACAGTGAGCCCACTCTACCGTGCTGTCCCTACCTGTGGCACTGGCGTAGACTACCCTGGCCAGGGGCAGCTTGTTCTGCAGGTCCAAGACAGCTTTGCCCATCTTGGTGGAGCTGGCATTCTTGGCTTTGTGGCACTCGTCAAACACGATCTGGGGTAAGTGTGGGTTAAGGAATATTCTAGAAGGATGGTGGGCAATCTGAGTCCAATGTCCTAGAGTAGTTAGAACTCCCCAAGTTATGCCCAGGGATGCCTGTCAACTCTGGAAGGGATACCTAGTAGCATGAGGCCCACTTTATAACTGCTGTGTGTCATGTATTGCATCCAGTGTTTAAGACGATGGCATTGTGGCTGGGGGCTTGCCTAGAAACTGTGGAGGTCCAGGGTTTTATCCCCAGTGCTATAGAAACTCAAATACTAAACAATTTGTTAATGTATGTGCACACGCACACACACACGCACACGCACACACACGCACACGTGCGCGTGCACACACACGCACACGCGCGCGCGCACACACACACATACACACACACACACACACACACACAGAAGCATAAAGCAGAGGGCCTCTGGCTGTGTGCAGAGTGGAATCACCAGGGAGGTAGAAAATGGATGCTCAGAGCTGGATGTGGTAGTGTAGCATATACTTGTAATCCCAGCACTCAGAAGGCTGAGGCAGGAAGACCATGAGTTCGAGGCTAGCCTGGGCTACAGAGTGAGACCTGTCTTGGAGGGAAAAAAAATAATATTGAAGAAAAAAACTTTTTTTTTTGGTGCTGGTTCAGGGGCTTGAACTCAGGGCCTGGGTTTTGTTGCTGAGCGCATCTTTTGCTCAAGGCTAGCACTCTACCACTTGAGCCACAGCTCTACTTCTGGCTTTTAGGGGTAGTTTTTTGGAAATAAGAGTCTCACAGAGGTGGCGCTGTAGCTCAAGCTGTAGAGTGCTCGCCTTGAGCTGAAGAGCTCAGGGACAGCGCCCAAGCCTAGAGTTCAAGCCCCATGACCGACCAAAAAAAAAAAAAACCAAAAAAGTCTCATAGGCTTTCCTGCCTGGGCTGGTTTCAAATTGTGATCCTTAGATCTCAGCCTCCTGAGTAGTTACAGGTAGGATTTCAGGTATGAGCCATCAGTTTCAAAGATATTCTTAATATTTTAAAAAGAAAACAAGATAGAGAAACACACACACACACACACACACACACACACACACACACACACACACACACACACACACACACACACACACACACAGCTGGCCAAGGAGAAGTGGGAAAACACAGTGAAAGTCTGAATGTATTTCTTGCCAAGGATGTCACTTGATGTTACTGCTACATTGCCTGGCTGGGGCTCTGTTGTAGGTGGGGAGGGTAAGTAGGGGACAGAGATTTCTGAGCCTTGTGCAACCTGCCCTTCACCTGCCACTGACACTGAGCCTCGGATCAGTGGGGGAAGAAGATGAAGAGGACTAGAGGGACCTACTGCTGGCTGTAAAACCAGTCTTCTGTCACCTGGATATAAGATGGGATAAGAGTTGGCCTGGAGGTCTAGTTAGTGGTCTGAAGTGGGCTGGCCACCAGGAAGGAAAGGGTGGCATTTAGTTTTTCTCATTGTGCAGAGAAGATAAGGCTTATTTATAAAGTTGGAAGAAAAAATATGGGAGGATTGGTGGCTAAGCCCTGTGGCCCAGCTTTCTGTCACAAGGGTGATCTGTGGGCCCTTGTCCCTAACAACTTGTGCCTGCAGCCTCCATGGGCACAGACTATGTACTGGGTGTCCAGGATGGGCAGCAGCCTGCCACTAGAACCAGGGGAATGAGGGAATTCTGCCCATACTGGCACTTTCCTGCCCTAAGGGTCTACCATGGCACTACCTCCCAGGCATGGTCCCAAATTATCACCATGTCTGTGGTCACCATGGAGCTTTCTACAATAGCACAGGAGGGGCATCTCCACAGTAGTCTACTCTGCCCCTCCGTGCTCTGCTCTCTCCCCACCTCCACCCTGCCCATGCAGGATACAACGCCATCGAAGGCCTCTCCGCACCACTGGAGGATCTGCCGCAGGCGGGTACGGTGCTGCCCACCTGCCTGGCTCTCTCCGATCAGGGCAGAGTAGGTAGCAAAGAGGACCCCCTCTGAGGTAGTGTTGTCACCGTACTTGATCTGTGGATGGGAACAGATGTAGGGACATACGTGGGGGCTCCTAGGCTGGGCAGAACCTGGTCACCCATCCCCCCCTTCCAGCCTGGCTTGGCTCTACCTACCTTGCTCAGCGCATGCACAGCGATGCCTGGGGCCTCTATATCTCGCAGGTCGCGCTCTGCATCGTACTTGAGATCGTTTGAGACGCTGAACCTGGGAAGGGGTGTGGCCTGGTCAGGAGCAGCTTGTATGCCTCTGTCCCTGTCCCCAGGACATGATATAGACACTCACCACAAGGCCTTCTTCCTGCCACGCAGGTAGTTCTCCATGATGATGCCAGCCACCGTGCGGCCCTTGCCCACACCAGCCCCGTCCCCAATGAGGAAGCCAGCGCGCTGCCCATTAGGCAGCACAACCTCGTGTTGCTGTGACAGAAGGGGGTGGTCAGAGCTGGGAAGCCCTGTGCAAACCCTTTCTCAGGGGTCTTGTGGGATGGGGTGTGGGCAGGGGCAAGTCACCTGGCATGCGTAGGTTATAGCCTCCAGCTGCAAGGCAGACAGGGTTCCACTGTCAGGAGTGGGCAGTGCCAAAGTATAGGTGATATCTGGTGGTGGGACGCTGGACAGTGTGCTGGTCTCCACCACACGGTCTGGGTGCTGTTTACCGATCTTGGCTGAAGGGACACAGGGTGAGATCAGGCATCATGAAGCTGAGGGTTGGGAGCCCCAAGAAGCTGGGGTTGTCTTCCCTATCTCTATCTGTAGATGTTGGCTTGAGGGCAGGAAAACCAGATCTCAGGGACTCAAAGAACAGTGCTGAGACCTGGGTAGGAAGGAGGTGCCTGTGGGGGTCTGAGCTCCTTTTGCCCGTTTGAGCACTTACATTTGGATGGCACATAGTCGGCGTAGGTCTCTGCATGGCCCAGTTCCTCAGCCTCTTCCTCCTCCTCGGCCTCCTCCTCCTCTTCAGGTGGGTTCCCTGACTACAGGTATAGGTGAAATTCAGGAGTCAGTCCTGCCCTGATAGGGATAGAGGCAGCCCTACCATTACCCCCAGACTTCGTTAGGGCCTCAGTTTCTCTATCTGCAAAATGGGGTGATTCCTGCTTGTAGGCCACACATGACTTGACAAACTAGAAGCTCCTGAGCTCTGAAGACCCTTCCATAAGTGCTGGCCAGGAAGGGAACCTGCTGGACAGGCTCACCTGGTAGCTGACAAGAAGCGGAGTGCTAGGGAGGGAGGCCACGGGTTCCTTGAGGCTTGAAAATGGCACATTGGGCAGGAACAGCTGGAGGAGAGAACAGTAGTTGGCACATTGCCCACCACCCTAGGCTTAGTGGGCTCCCAACCATTACCCTGCCTCCCTAAGGGAGTGGCTCACTAGCTCTGATGGACTGTAGCCCAGCAGGGGCTGGCAGGTCAGGCTTGAGAACAGGCTATGCAGGGGGCCTACAGAAGCATTGAGAACACTAAAGCGTAGGTTTTCAGTCTAAGGGGAGGACAAAAGAGAAGCCAGTTAGACTGTATTGGTGGCAGGCCACTCTCACCTGTGGCCCCAGCCTGGTGGTGGTCTTCACCTCTCCCCTGGCAGCCCCAGTGCTGATAGAAACAAGTTGCAAAGGGGCTTTTTTTTTTTTTTGGTCAGTCATGGGACTTGAACTCTGGGCCTGTGCACTGTCTCTCAGCTCTTCAGCTCAAGATGAATGCTCTACCACTTGAGCTACAGCGCCACTTCTGGTTTTCTGGTGGTTAGTTGGAGATAAGAGTCTCAGACTTTCCTGCTTGGGCTGGTTTTGAACTATGATCCTCAGATCTCAGCCTCCTGAGTAGCTAAGATTACAGGCGTGAGCCACCAGTGTCTAGGACAAAGGGGCTTCTTGCTGCCCTTGTGTTCTCCCCAGGTGGTCCACTGTGGGGGGAACCATCAGAAGCCCAGCATACCAGCAACCCAGTAAGAAAATAGGCTGGTGGCTGGAAAGGTATAAAGTGCTAGCCATGGGCTGGGATGTAGCTCAGTGGCAAAGCGCTTGCCTAGCAAGCACAACATCCTGGGTTCGATCCCCAGTACCAAAAAAGAAAAGACAAAAAAAAAAAAAATACAGTTAAAGTGCTAGCCATGCATGCTGACTCTAGGCTGGGTGGCCAGGTGGAGCCTGACCTCTCGGATCTAATCTGTGCCACTAGGGGGACATGGCCCACCATGGAATATGAGACCTGACAGGAATCCAGAGTAAGCGGGACTGGGAAGTGACTTTCCTTGGCTACCCCAGGGAGCATATGGCTGCCATTGTCTAAGTCACAACACTGAGGCTAGGCAGACCTAGGACACAGCTGGGAGACAGTGAGGTCCAGACCAGGGTTTGTGTGATTGTGTGTGTGTGTGTGTGTGTGTGTGTGTGTGTGTGTGTGTGTGTGTCTGTGTCGGTGTGTCTGTGTGTGTGCCTGTACTAGGGCTTGAATGTGGGCCTGGTCACTGTTCTTTAGTTTTTTTGCTCAAGTTTAGTGCTCTATCACTTAAGCCACAGTGCCACTTCTGGCTTTTTGCTGGTTAATTGGAGATAAAAGTCTCATAGACTTTTGTTGCCTGGGCTACCTTCAAACTTGATCCTCAGATTTCAGCCTCCTGAGGAGTTAGAATTACAGGCATTAGCCACTGGTGCCTGGCTTATATAATTATTAAAACTTCTCAATAGAGCCGGGTGCCAGTAGCTCACGCCTGTAATCCTAGCTACTCAGGAGGCTGAGATCTGAGGATCACAGTTCAAAGCCAACCTAGGCAGGAAAGTCTATGAGACTCATCTCCAATAAACCACTATAAAACCGGAAGTAACACTATGGCTCAAGCGGTAGAGCGCTCGCCTTGAGCTAAAGAGTGCAGGGACAGCACCCAAGCCAGAGTTCAAGCCCCACAACTGACCAAAAAAAAAAAAAATCTCAACAGCACCAGTTTATCCTTAACAAAAACAGTATGTGAGGCTGGGAATGTGGCTTAGTGGTAGAGTCCTCGCTTAGCATGCATGAAGTCCTAAGTTCATTTCCCCAGTAACATATATAAACAGAAAAAGCCAGAAGTGGGCTGGGAAGGTGGCTCAGTGGTAGAGCGCTTGCCTTGCATGCATGAGGCCCTGGGTTCAATTCCTCAGCACCACATAAGCAAAAAGAAAAAAGCCGGAAGTCGCACTGTGGCTCAAAGTGGTAGAGCACTAGCCTTGAGCTGAAGAGCTGAGGGACAGCGCCCAGGCCCAGAGTTCAGGCCCCACGACCGGACCCCAAAAAAAAAAAGAAAAAAAGAAAAAGCCAGAAGTGGTGCTGTACCTCAAGTGGTAGAGTGTAGCTTTGAGCAAAAGAAGCTCAGGGGCAGTACCCAGGCTCTGAGTTCAAGCCCCAAGACTGACAAAAAAAAAAGTATGTCTAAAGGGGAGAGGGACTTCCAATCCTAGTTCCATTCAGTGGTTAGGATCAGCAATCAGCATAGGGTTAACAGCATATAGTTAACACTTCCAACTCAGGTTAGAAACATGGCCAGCTATGTTTAAAAAGACCAGAGTGAAGTCACAAAGATTACAAGTCCAAGCTCAGCCTTCCTGCTTTTTTTTTTTTAAAATTAGCAAAAACCTAAACAGAAGGGGCAAGGGTTCCTGGAAGACTGAGTCACGTTCCCAGCCAGGCTGGGACAGTGCCAGGGCATTGGATTACAGAGGCCCATACATGATCTCCTGCAGTCAGTTGTGCTCCTAGTAGGGATGGACAGTGCCTTTGGGACCTAATCCCCAAGAGGGAGAACAGGCCTGAGCCGCCCCATAGAGCTGGGGAGGCAGGGTCTGCGTCAGTGCTCTGGGGTCAGCTGACACCCACTGGTGACAGAATAATCTCTGCCCAGAAGCTCTTCTGACTGAATGGGACCCTGCCTGCGAGCAGTGGAGCAGAGCTGCCCTGGGCATATGCCCTTCTGCCTCTGTAGGGGGAGGAGGGTTACTGTACCCATGGTATGCACTGACTTACACCCCCAAAGTCTAGAAGCTTCTCTTGCAGAGGTCCCAGAAAAGGCCTGGGTGTCTGGGAGTTCCCCTCGGCATTGCTGAAATTAGGGCTAAATTGCTTTTAGGAGGGGAATCCTGGACACTGAAAGCTGCTGGGTAGTGCTCCTGGCCTCCACCCCACTCCCTGCCAAGAGCACCCCAGTCATGATGAACACATATGTCCCCAGACATGGGGACATTCTGCCCCAGGGTCTCCTGTGGGCAGAACTGTCTAGGGAGAGTAGTATCTACAAGCACTTTTTGTTTCTCCTGGGTAAGCCTGCTTCCCCAGCAGGGTTGTGGCCTCTGAGACCCTGCAGAACCGGGTGAGGAGAAAGAGCCACCATATATGGTCAGGGGGGCACTAAAGGGGGTGTAGCCTGACCTTGGGGTTGTAAAGAACCTATAAGGACACTGGACCTTCAGCCTCATCTATGACTCTGAAGAGCCTGAGAATAACCACCACCTGCCCTCCCCCAGCACCTCTCACAGAAACAGCTCCAGTTGGATGTGTGGAACACACTGACCTTCTCATTGGTGGCTGGGGCAGTGCTGACATCCCAGATGGTGGGCACCTGGCTGAGGCTGTCTGCTGGCAGGAAGTCGGGTGTGTCCACAATGTCTGAGAGGGAGTCCACGGATGAGGAGAAGATGGAGGCATTGGAGAGGTCCTCGAGGTATGAGGAGTCCTGCAAGACAGGCCTAGGTGAGGATGTGTGACACCACAGCTGTTTGAGCCTGGGTTCAAGCTGGGCTCAGAGTTAGCTCAAGGCTAACTAGAATAAAGAGAACAGCAACAGCCAGGCACTGGTGGTTCATACCTGTAGTCCTGGCTACTGAGATATGAGGATCCTATACTGAAGCCAATTCAGGCAAACAAATCCAAGACTTACTTCCAATTAACCACCCAAAAGTCAGAAGTGGAACTGTAAGCACCAACCTTGAGTGAAAAAGCTAAAGGACAGCTCTCAGGCCCTGAGTGAAAGCCCAACTACTAGAACAAAACAAACAAACAAACAAAAAACCAATGCGGTGCCATCCACACTGGAACATCACACAGCCATGAACAGGATGAGGTTTGTTACAATGTGGACAGAGTTTGAGAATATCATGCTCAGTGAGAGAAACAGACACAAAAGGCCCCATAGTGTGTGAGTTCATTGACAGGAAAATTCCAGAACAGGTGAATCCAGAGACAGGCAGGGAATCATGGGGGAAAAGGGGTAGGGAGGGAAAGGGATCACCGCTTATGGGTATCCTTTTGGTGATGGAAGGTCCTAAAGATGATGGTTGTATAACCATGAATACAGTAAAACCATCACACTATAAAGTTGAAATTGCTCTGCAATTGTCTGCATTGTCAGATAGGTCGTGTGTGTGTGTGTGTGTGTTGGTTTTTTTTTGCTCAAGGCTGGTGCTCTATCACTTGATTTACGGCTCTATTTCTGGCTTTTTGGTGGTTAACTGGAGATAAGTCTCACAAACTTTCCTGCCTGGGCTGACTTCAAACCTAATTCTCAGATCTCAGCCTTCTGAGCAGCTAGGTTATTGGCATGAGCCTTTAGCACCCAGCAGGTGTATTATTATTATTTTTTTTTTGTGGGTTGTTGGGCTTGAACTCTGGGCCTGGGCGCTGTCCCTCAGCTCTTCAGCTCAAGGCTAGCACTCTACCACTAGAGTCACAGCATGACTTCCAGTCTATTATGTTTATGTGGTACTGAGGAATTGAACTTAGGGCTTCATGCATGCTAGGCAAGCACTCTACCATTAAGCCACCTTCCCAGCCCTGTTAGGATCTTTTCTGCCCTGGCAGGATTTGAACTACAATCCTCTGGATCTCAACCTCTTGAGTAGCTAGGATTACAACTACTGGTGTGCTCTCTAAACATATTTTAGAGCAGCAGTGGTGGGGGAAGGGGTCACTGCAGCCTCTCATGTGAGCCTGACCACAAGTGGTATCCCCTATATCCTCCCTCCAGCCTACCCAACACTCTCTCTTGCTCAGGCATCTACCATGTGTGTGACACATGGGAAGTGTGCCCCCACCCAGAAGGCCTGCCAGGGTCCTGTAGGTAAGGGGTACCCATGCTGCCCTGCATCCCCCCCTTTTTTTTCTCTTCAGAAAAGGAATCTGTGTTTAGGGCAATGTCTCTGAGGACCAGGATGTGGGCCAGTACCATCCCCAACCTCAGTGCACAACTCAGCCAAGAGTGGGGAGCAGTCCTAGCCAAGCACCCCCTCCCCCAGTCCAGTATTGCTCCCACTGTGGCCAGAGGGCCCAGTCACACTGACTTTTGCCTCTGATGCACTGGAAGTATTTCCTTGGCAGCACCTGGCACAGATGAATTAACGAAAGCCACATCCAGGAGAGAGGGCAAGCTGCTGTTGGAAGGACCTGACCCACCATGTTGGGCTTACAGACCCTAATGAAGTATCTGGCTTTGTCAGTGGGCAGGAGAGACGGTCCGGGGGCACTGGGAGTGTCTATGAGCAGACTGCCTGACCCCTTGCAGGCACCCTGTCACCTGGAAAGGCTGGCTCTGTGCTCTGGGGACCAAACACTCCTAGTTAGTTCTGGATTGAGCTGTCCTGCTTTCCCCATGGAGGAAGGAGAGGACAGAATGGTCAGGGCACACAGACTCTAGAGGTTCAGATTGCCAGATAGGCCAGCTCCTCCAGTGAGAGCAGTGTCCCTGCAAATCCAAGGTTACTGGGGTCAAAGGCTCTCCATGATCTCCCTTACCTTGTGTTCCTGCTCCCTCCCTTTACGCTAAGGCTGGTTGCTGGGACTTGGCTATAGTGGAATTTCTATTCCTGAGAGGGAGTAGGAGGTCTCAAGAGATTGTCTATTTTCCCCAAGGCTCTGTGCTGGTCTGGAGGTCAATCCCAGCATCAGCGTCCTCTACCCCCACCCCCAGCCTCTTCCCCACCCCCTAGATTCAGGTCAGGACTACCTAGTCTCCCAGAGGGGTGGATTAGGGATCAAGCCAGGGCTGAGCCTGTATCCTCCTGAGGACTGCTAACAGGTGGTGCAGATCCAAGTCCTGCCCTGAAGTACAGGGCAACCCAGCTGCCAGCCAGGTTAGCTGGCATGAGGCTCGGGGCTCGATTAGATTCTTCTTGCACACTGAAGGGCCCCCAGTTGCAGAGGTGCTGCCAGTGCTCAGGTGACCCCAGGAAACAGTGCTTTGTTCCTGGGGCCAAGCACAAGCCATTTCACATACAAGGAGCTGGATCTAGTAGCTCTCCTCACCCTGCCTCCCTCAGCCACACCCAGCTTGGACCCTCCCAGGTCTGAGACCCTTGTCCTCAGCTCTGGAGAAGGGCCTAAAGAGAAGGCAAACAGCCAGGAGGCTCATTAACAGGACACTGGCCCCTTCCCACCCTCAGAGGCACTGGCTGGGGCTGGAAGGTAGAGAAAAGCCCAGAAGCCTCAGGGCAAAGGGGCTCAGGCCTCACTGCTCCAAAGGATGTCCAGTACCTGACCACTCAGCCCAGCAACTCAGCAGCCATGAGTTTGTTTTGAACTGAGGTTCTACTGCCCAAGATTCTTTTTTTTTGGGGGGGGGGTCTGGTTATAGAGCCTGAACTCTGGGCCTGGGCGCTGTCCCTCAGCTCTTCAGCTCAAGACTAGCACTCTACCACTTGAGCCACAGCGCCACCTCTGGCGTTTACTGCTTATGTGGTGCTGAGGAATCGAACCAAGGGCCTCATGCATGCAAGGCAAGCACTCTACCACTGAGCCACCTTCCCAGCCCCTGCCCAAGACATTTTTTGAGCCAGCCCCATCCCTAGGCGGCTGGAGTGTGGCTAGGGGTAACAGACTTTACCCCCAAACTCCCCATCACACAGTAGCTTCAGCCCAAGCAAGCGGCACAGTACCAGAATGGTCCCCAGTTCCAGGACAATGTAGTGGGGTGACACAGGACACACTGGATGCTGGTGACACACACCTGTAATCCTAGCTACTTAGGAGGCTGAGATCTGAGGATTGTGGTTCAAAGCCAGCCCAGGCAGGAAAGTCTGAGACACTTATCTCCAAGAAGCCACCAGAAAAGTAGAGGCAGAGCTGTGGCTCAAAGCGGTAGGGCACTAGCCTTGAGCAGAAAAGCTCAAGGACAGCAACCAGGCCCTGATTCAAGCCCCATGATTGGCAAAAAACAAACGAAACAAAAACTCCCTTACCATGCCCCAATCATATACTAGGCAGGATGGATGGGGCGGTGTGTGTGTTGGGGGGGGGGATAATTGGTCAAACAGGAAGTATCACCCTTCTGGTCTCTGGTCTGGTCTCTGGTGTGGAGGTTCCTGTGTCCTAATGATAGGACACAGGATAGGTGCCTTACCTGAGGTTGCCCCCAACCCACATCCCATCTGACCACAAGGAAAACTCTAGGCCCAACTAAGGGGCACCCTGTAGACCCCTGACTTATTCTCTTGCCACTGCCTAGGGAAAAAGCAAGAATATCTTGGAACTGGTTCCAGCTGGGGAGCTTGAAGGGGTGTTCTGAAGGGGTGATTATGGTAGAAGGGAGGTGTGGGGCAGGCAACTGAAAAGTTGCCTGAAAAAGTTGGTTCAGCTATCGATGAGCCCACAAAAGCACTGGGAAAATTGTAAATGAGGGGCAGCTGGGGTGGGTGCAAGACATTAAGTTGTATGAAGGACTTCATCGAAGCCCCTAAATTGTCCTCTGTAGCCGCAGTCCCTTATCATCCTGTCCCCAACCAGAACAGGACACACTGCCCACTCCTGGGATGAGGCTCTCAGGGGGTCTACCAGGTCCCACCCCATGCCTGGCCTCAAAGCCGGGAGGAAAGCAGGCTCCCAACCCCCACCCAGATTAGACTGCAGGCAGCCACTAGCCGACCTCCACAAGGATCCACACCAGCCAGGCAGGTCCCACCCTCCTAATCCCTCAGCAACTACCCCTTTGCCAAAGTCTGGAGAGAGTAGAAGCCGGCCCAGCCCAGCTCACCTTGGGAATCCCTGGAGTACTTCCCCAGGGAGCTTGGGCCTCCACTCACATTGCTCTGAAACAGGGTACAGAGGCCCCTCCCCCCCAGCTCTCCAGAAAGGCGGGATCTGGGGAGGGGAGTCCCGGTGGAGCCAGAAAAAAAATCCCTGTTGTAATGACAGTAGGGAGCCCAGATGGGGTGGGGCAAGACCTAGCTCTGAGCCCCCTGGGTCACAGAAGGAATACCCACAGCAGAAACCAAACCCTCTTTACTCCCCGGACCAGAGAGCTCGGCTTAGAATTAATGCCCCCTGCCCACCCCCCCACACACACACAAAGTATAGACTTTACCTATGCCAAACTCAGGGCACCCTAGGAAGGACTGGGACTCAGATCTACCTGTTCAAGCAGAGCTAACCTTAAATCATGCCCAATCTAGTCCACAAATGGGTTCTGATAAAAATCCCGAGTGGCTTGGTGGGGGAGGGGGTCACCAGGTGCCTGGCAGGGGCTGAGGGTCAAGGCAGAGCCTGAACTGTAGAGATAGAAACAAGCTTCTCCTGCCAGCCTTGTACTCAGGTCCTGGTGGTGACTGGGAAAGTCCCCTTCCACGTTCTGTTCTCTCTTCCCTACGGGTCTCCCGGATCCAGGGACTTTACACCAAATCTCCGCCTCAGAAAATTCTGGCAAGATTCACTATCACTGCCAAAAAAGGAGAGAGCCCAGCTGGGGGC